CAGGTATGACGAGTGTTGGTGTTGCTGCTGTTGCTGCTGCTGTTACTGCTGTGGCTGTTGTTGCTGCTATCGCGGTTGGTGTTGTTGCTGTTGGTGGTGTTGGTGTTGGTGGTGGTGGTGGTGGTGGTGGTGGTGGTGCTTCCGCTGTTGTTGCTGCTGCTCTTGTCGTCGTGGTTGTTTGATGTTGGGGTCTTGCTGATGGTGGTGGTGGTGTTGTTGCTTCCGCTGTTGTTGCTGCTGGTGTTAGTGCTGGTGCCTCTGCTGCCGTTGCTACTGCTGTCGTGGTGGTGGTTTGTTGTTGGGCGTCGGTGCTGACCGGATTGGAGACATGCATTGTGCCCACGCCACAAACGTGTTTGAGGTAGCGCGGCCTCGGAGCGGACGCAGGAAGGCGCCCGGTCTATCGTTTACTGTACGAAGCTTTTTGCTTTGTGAGATGGTTGTGTTGCGGCTGGTTGTGTGTTTCAGAAGGGTGGCCGCGTTTGTTTTCTGCACCAGCATGGTATGCGTTATTCAAGATTAATATCCCCCCAGCTCCCCCCCCCGACCTCCCACACAACCACAGCAACAATGAGCATGACCCCCACCCCCTCCCCCTCCCCCTCCGAAAAACTAAGAAACCCGCCCGCTCTTTCTCCACACCGCCCCTACCTCCAGGAATTCCTTCGGGCCGTCGTACCTGTTCACCAACGTCCGGACGTCACTCGGGAAAGCCGTGTCGGCGTTTGTGAAGGAGGGTGCTGGGGGGAAGGCAGGCGGCGTGGAGGTTAAGGGACTGGACTCGAAGGGGGAAGGGCTGGAAGACGGGGAGACCCGTCTCTGTACGGAGGTGCAAGAAGATGGATCTACCGTGAGATGTGGTTTTGCAAATCCTCGCTATGTTTATTTTTTTTCTCCGATTTGGCATTTATTTGTTGGTCTTTGTGGTGGTGTTTGGGTGCCCGTGGATGACGGATAAATGTGGGAGCTTTGATAATTACGTCATGCCTTGACGGGTAGACGTGGGTATCTCGATAGTGACGTCATGACTTGACGGGTAAATGTGGGCACTTTGATTATGGCGTCATGACTTGTGTTTGTTTCGTGGGTGTGGTGCCCGAGTAGGCGGGAGAAACACCAACATAAACACATGGATGCGTGTATAATAGGATCTCAGATTCGTTAGCTACGTTTCGGAGTTGCAACGCATCTGTGGTGTGATATTTTTTGTATTGTTTTCCGTACATTGTTGTCTTTCTTGTTTGGAGTTGTTTCATGGCAGTGGAACTGTTTCATGCCATTCTTCCCCATGCGCATGGCTCGCGTGGAAGCGATGGATTCAAAGGCCGCCTCGCTCGCCGCGTGGCAGTGGCAGTGGCTTGATGACCCCCCCCCCCCTCGCCGGCTATCTTGGTTGTATAATCCCAAAACAAGCAAAAAAATGTGGTGTTATCTCTTACTTGTAAATAATCTTTATTTTTTCTCCATGTATGTTTAATGTAACGGGAACGAATACACGCCACCCCAATTCTTCCCGTCCTCATCCCACCCCCCGTCGGCTACCGAACATATCGAATGCGGCTTTTCTTTCCACAGGAATGGGGAGGTTTCGGCGGTAAGTTGGCGTTACCAGCCCCAGAGATCAGCACCGCGGTGGGGGAAACGCTGCAGGCGCCAGAAAAGCCGAGGGGGGTGAGTGTTGGTTCGAATAGCGTCGAGCAAGGAAAGCGTCTGTCGTCGTTTTTCGGCGAGGGTCAATTGTTAGTGGTAACCAGTAAGGGGGTATTGTTTTTGCTGCTGCTGCTGCTGCTGTTAGCCCTGCGCCTGACCCCCAAAAATGTTGTATGCGCGTGGCACGGCTATTCGGCTTTCTCTGGCCAAAACAAAGTTCTTCCGCTCGTCCGGTTGACGACGCCAAACCTTGTTTTGACTTGATATTAAACAGCGAGAGGAGAACGTGGAATACTCGATGCCACAAACGAACTGGCTCTTGCGGTTTAGTACACGCCTGTGAACAGGACATATGCGTGTTATTGTCGGTCAGTTTTTCAATCGGCGGATTCTATCCCATCAAACCCTTTGAAAATCAAGCATTTTTCGGCCAAATTCACAGCGGCCGCAAGGGTGTGGACCTTTTGCGAAAATTGCCACCGACCAAAACATAGCTACCGTTCTCACGGAGGTGATACAAGAAACCGCTCCAGAATCCGCGCTACGGACGTCTCTCAGTACGAATCCTTAAATGGGGTAGTTTTGGGGTGACGCACGGGTCCAAAAGTCCAGAAAAAGTCCCCGCCTGTCAAGCACAAAAAAAAAGTGGTGACCACACAACCAGCCGATTATGTGTTGACGGGCGGATCAAGGGCGCGGAGGTCCACTGCCGCCTGCAGGGCGATCATCTAGGAAGCGAGCTCTGGAGGGATCAATGCTAGGGGGGAGGGTGCGAGGGGGTGGTCTGTCTGGGATTTGGGAACGGGGGCGAAGCAGGCGCCACGTTGGAAAAAGCTCACATTGATGTGTGGGATTGATTTTTCCGTGCGTTTTTTTTTGCTCATGAACTGACTTTTGGGCAACATTGCTTGATCCACCACCGACGCTGCACTGCAGCTCTTCCTGCCGTTGCTTCGCCATTAGTGGCAGAGGTTTCCCTGCTTTCGTCGCAGTGTCTCTTCAACCCCTTGAAGGGGCGGGTAGGGCAGCGGCGGCCTCAGCTCCTTTTTGTACCATGGTGTAAAAATCAGTCCACCTGCCCTTCTTTTCGGTCGGTGTTTGTTTTTCCGCTAATAATCTCCAAAATGTGCACTGGCGCAACGGCACTGCCACCGGCGCTACTGCAGCTGTTGCCACCGTCCCTGCACCACGAGTAGCAGCGGTTTTCTTACTTTCCTTGCAATGTCTATTGAGCCCCATAGACGGGCAGTGACGGGGGTGGTCGTTGCATACCCGTTTGGGTGTGAAGTGATGTAGGGTGAGATCGCTGCCTCTTCCGTGTGCGTGTGTGACGCGTCGTTCAACTGACTTTTGGGCGATATTGCTTGACTCCACCACCGACGCTACACTGCAGCTCTTCCTGCCGTTGTTGCACTATGAGTAGCAGCGGCTTCCCTTCTTTCCTCGCAGTGTCTCTTCAACCCCTTAGAAGGGCGGGAAGGGCGGCGGCAGCTTCAGTTGCTGTAATGTTGTAAAATCAGACCCCATGCTCTCGCTGATCTGGTGTGTTTTTTTCCGCTCTGGTGAATTTTTTTCCGCTCATCCGCTCATCTCTGAAATTTGTGCCAGCGCGCAACGGCTCTACCGCCGGTGCTACTGCAGCTACTACGACCGTTCTTGTGGCATGAGTAGCGGTGACTGTTCTGTTCTCCACGCAATGTCCTTGCGGCCCCACAGCCGGGTGGGAACGGAGACGGCTGCAGCAATCCCATTTCGTCGTCAACTCAAAAAAAAACAAGACACACCAAAGCCGATTGTGCAGTCTTTTCACCTGTTGAACTGACGTGGCCGCCAAAAATGTGGGGATTTATTGGCCACGAAACAAAAACTTCAGAAGAATGGACTGTTCGAAAGAACATCCGCTGGACAGAAAATTGGCCCAAAAACAGGGTCAGGCGCAGGGCTAGCTGTTGTTGTTGTTGTTGTTGCTGCTGTTGTCTTCACATTTACAAGGGTTCTGTTCTCTCTACCCAGTACCTTCATCTGCCCGCACTAGTCAAACACTTGACGCGGCCGATTCCCGTGGTCACAGAGCTAGCTTACCTGAGAAGAGGAATAATGAAAAATTAAAATGGACCCGAAAGGTCCGCAAGTGAACAGAAATCAAGGACAGATAGCCTACAGTAGACCCATAAAACGTGTTGAAATAAATCGTGTAGTAATTTAACAAACGAACGTCCGTCGTTCACGTTCCCAGAGTCATCGGTGAAAAATTCGGGAGGCCTTTCGTTGAAGCCGCAGACCTTACGTTGATGCCAAGGATGGTTAATGGCAAGTCCCGCCCCCCGTAAACGTCCGTGACGGCTTTCCGTTGACGACCGCGTATAGGTGTGTCTTGCGAGAGTCACGGGGCGGGGCGACGGGGAATGCACACGTTCACACACAAACGTAAAATCTCTTATCCTCCCCACTCCGTGATGGTAGTACTAGTACAATACTGCCGTACAGGAGGCTCACAAAGACATTCGTAACCAAGAAGTTGAAGGGCCCGACAGTCGCAAAGCGTAAAATGAACTGGACCCCACATACCTGTACCTGATGCGCGTTATTTTTTTCTTTTGTTTTTCTTCTTCCTGCAGATGTTCGAGGACGTGGCCAACAACCAGGTGGTCATGGCCGTGTACGCGATGCCCCCCAAGGTACCCAATTGCTGACCAAGCAGGAGCCGTGTTTTCCCCATTGTTTGCGGAGTTGTGCTGTGGTCGTAAGCAGGACTAATAAAGCTGAGTCTTGTTTTTAGCCTGTTGCCCTCGTATCTCCCCTGTCTGTGCGTGTCCATGGTAGTCCTGGGGGTCGTGTTCTTGTACCACCCTCCGTGCAACAAGAAAATATAGTCCCTGTTTTTTTTCCATCTTCCTGTGTGACCCCAAGCTGATGCGTAAAGTATATATCCCGGATGGTGTGGGCAGGCGCCAGAATAATCTGGACGGGAAAACACACACAACAAACCTCTTGCACTCGGTCTGACACGTTGCTCGCCATTTCGCGGTTCTCCTGCTTATCAACCAACCCATGCTGTCTCAAGGGGTTCAGATATGCCGCATGCACACACAGCAATCCTGTCTCACCCCCCCCCCCCCCCTCCCCACTCGCCATTTCGCGCCTCCCCTGCCTACTATTTGCACGCTATCTATAGGGGGAGCACGTGTGCCGCATGCTTCCCGGGGTGGACGCGCTCCCCAAAACACTCCTGCCTCAGGACCTTGTCAGCCGCCGGCCCCCTCGGCTGAACCGCAACATGAGCATCGCGGAGATGGGTTCCACAAAGTACAACCCGCATCAGCAGCAGGGTGAGAGACAGTCAGTGTTGGACGTGACATTTTCTTGCTGTACTGTTTTGAGTTCGTTCGAGGAAGGCAAGGAGTTGCCAAACATTCGGCGTTTTTTGAGTGCAACCGTCTATATGGGCGAGAGAACCATTTTTTTGGTTCTCACTGAAGTACGGGATCACCAGGAGAGAAGGAGTCCCCTAACGCTGTTTCTATTGTCGTTGTTGAGGAAATGACCTGTCAAAAGCCCCCCCCCCCCCCCCCCCTCCCCCCTCGGCCTTGTTTGCCATCGGGGTTTGGGTTTTCGTCGCTTGGCAACGACGTTGTAAAACAAGCCGCCCCCCCTGGTGTTTGCCATCGGGGTTGGGTTTTCGTCGCTTGGCAACGACGTTGTAAAAAAAGCCCCCCACTCGGTGTTTGCCATCGGGATTGGGTTTTCGTCGCTTGGCAACGACGTTGTAAAAGAAGCCAATTCACTTCGTGAACTCGGCAACCAGGTTACCGTTTTTTTTTTTACCTCGGTTTTTTTTTTTGGCGGAAACCAAAATGGTGGTCGAGTAAGTCATGTTGTGCGGGGTCAAGAACCCTCACTCCGCGCAACGGGGGATGATCGCACCACGTTGTGTTAAAATGGTCAAGCTTCCTCGAGGCAGTTACACAAGTGCTTACAACTGTCAATGGAAGTGAAAGCACCAGAAAATAAACTAAGTCATACGTAGCTGTCATCCG